CACTCACTCTCATATATCATGTTCCTCAGGTGGTTCTTGATCAAGGCTCCATTGCTGGCAATGTCTGCCACAGTGATGCTGAGGTTCTGCCTCTTATCATACAGCTCCCTCACAGCTCGAGCATAAAGCTGCACTGAATCATACAGGTACGCCGAGGGCAAGTATGGAACATGCTGCCCAAAGGAAACCAAAAACAACTTTTACATTTGCACTGTGGCACAGTGATATTACTGGTGATAGTCTATGGGACTACAGTGATGTTGTGCAATGTTGTGGATATCACTGAGGGATGAAAAGTGATGGTTTATCCAAAGATTTTGTATCAAGATCTCTGGTTTATTAGATTCTTGGTGTCACTTGGTGGCACTAGCATAGATCAACTAAGAAGGAATGACAATTTTTGTCAGTCTATTGAAATATTGGCTATTGTATTAACTGAAGGAAAGTTCAAGAGCTGCTAAGGCAAGAGATAAAATGGGGATAGATAAGTGGAATCTAAAAGTGTATATGAATAAAAAGAATCTGTGATTTTGAAAAGATCCAAGCTTTCTTTTCAATACAAACTATATAATGCTACTGATATATTAAAAGACAGGCTTAACTAAGAGTTTTGCATTAAACTCTAAAATGAGTTTAAATGACTTTGTAAAAATATACACTGAATGTACCTATAATGTTGGTGATTATGAGGTGCCATAAAAAAAAAGTAAAATAAGAGAAATGTATGGATGCTATAGTGTACAAAAAGGGGGACTTTTATAAAAGCTAAATCATATAAAAAGACAAGAAAGGGAAGGGCAGTAATAGCTTACTGATGGTCGAGCAAAAGAAAGAAAAAAAAAAAAAAAAAAATCATTGATTCTTGATGCTGATGAATTTAAGTACTGAATGAAAAGTGCATCAAAATTCAATAAGAAATGTTAGAGGAGCACAGATCAATAAAACAAGGCTCATACAATATAAGAAGAAAAACAGAGTAACCAGTTCATGAAAGGAACTCACCAAGTTGAAAGCTTTGACTTTACTGATCATCCATTATTCCACCTTTCATGAACTGTTTACAGAGAGAGTTATTTTACAAGGCAATCACAGGGTTAGATACTCACATATTAAGCTGACACTCACAAAAAAATAGGTTTAAGAGATCCTATCAAAAAATGAATGATGTAATACATTATCAGTCAAACAATATGAAACTATGAGTATCAACTTAACTTCTGTTGAGCTTCTCTTGGGTTACATACATTGTTATGCAACTTAATGGGTTATAATCATCTTACCAATCATTACAACATTCACAAAAACACAAGCATTAAATCAGCTATAAAATTTCATTTCCAAAGTAAAAAAAAGGTTCAAATTTCACTATCTACTGTTGTGCAATCAACAAAAATTAAAATGCATGTTCATGGAAACCACTGATGGAATTTTGCCAAGAACTGCAAAATGCAACCACTCCAAAGATGTTTTAAGGTAATGGATAATGATAATGAATAAAATATATATATATTTAAAAATCAATCAAATATCTTAGAATAGAGAGAATCAAAAATCAAACAAATCTTATATGTAAAGGCTGCTCAATAAATAAAGAGATAACTGTAATATCTATTATCAAATAACATACAGAAAGAAAGAACGAGTGAAATTTAGTATCTATATGACAAATCTTCCTTGTATTCTAATTCTGTTTATCAAAATGCTTCAACCTTATAAGTAGCCTTTACACCAAAGCAGTACTCACTCTTAACTATAAGTTCAGTAAAATTAAAGTCTTTGAAGGCTTTGCTAGTCTTTTCAATCTGTTTTAAATTTCATAACATGTATTACCAATTCCTGAGAGTGCTGTTAGCTATGTTATCTAAAACTACGAAAAATAAAGTAACTCCTTGTGCAAACTGGTATCTACAAATACAGTTATTATGCAATTCTTTTCATGCCACAACAAAAACTGCATTTGTATTTTCCAGCTGTGTATGTGCAGAATTCAAAAGCAAACACACCGAGGTAACATCACAGACTTTCACAAATGCAAAGGTACATACAAAGGGCAAACAACATAGTGCTTCAGTACATGGACAAACATAGGTGCTGCTGACATGAACATAACAAGGAAAATCAATAACAAATAACATGACGGAAGGAATGCTGAAAATACAAAAAAATACATTAAGCTATGATACAAAGATTCACAAAACACACATACACACGCACATAATTGCACACAGAATTAAAACAATGTGCAAGGTCACATGAATAATACAAGAAAAATATTTCCAATATGAGAACTATCCATCTTATACTCTGTAAAAGTAAATTAGTTTTTCATCCCTCTTGTAAAAAAAGAAAAGAAAAAAATTACCTATACATAAAAAGAGAGAGAGAGAGAGAGAGAGAGAGAGAGAGAGAGAGAGAGAAGAGAGAGAGAGAGAGAGAGAGAGAGAGAGAGAGAGAGAGAGAGAGAGAGAGAGAGAGAGAGAGAGAGAGAGAGAGAGAGAGAGAGAGAGAGAGAGAGAGAGAGAGAGAGAGAGAGAGAGAGAGAGACACTGCTGAACCAAAACTGAATGACCACAACTTAAAATAACAAATTCTAACATTTCTGTCCCTGATTATACTCATCTCTATTACTTAAACCTATTTTTTCTGTAGCAACTCAAGAATGTAATTCAAGCAGATATTTAAAAAATTGAAAGATGAAAGTGATAGAGCATAGGATAGGAAAATAAAAAGTTGCAAAATTGGTCTCTCATATCTGAATCTAATAACCAGACTTTTTCATAGTATATTCTCCATATATAATATATATATATATATATATATATATATATATATATATATATATATATATATATATATATATATATATATATATATATATATACTATATATATATATATATATACATATAAGAATATATAGCCTATACATATATATACATACATACATATATATGTATTTATATATATAATATATATATATATATATATATATATATATATATATATATATATATATATATATATATATATATATATATATATATATATATATATACATACATACATACATACATACATACATATAATATAATATAATATATATTATATATATATATATATAATATATATATATAATATCAACTATTACTTCTTGAAATGGCTTTATTTCCCAAGTCTGTATTCTTTGTTGGTTATTGTGAGTAGATCTGGTTAAAAATTACTAGAACAATAATTCATACAAGTATGAATATATATTTAACATTTTTCAAAGAAATTAAAAAAATATGTCCCTTATTAAACAATTTCAAAAAAAAAATATTTTCTATCTTACTTTACATTTGCATATTGTTTTATTCTGTAATAGTGATTGGTACAAAGAAGAAAGGACAAAAACAAGACAGAATATGAAGACATGACACTTTGTTCCCAACATAGCTAACATTTCACCACTCTATGAGGACTCAATATTGTGTGAAAAAGTAACAAATCTGTAAGAACAAATAAACTACTTGGTAGGAGTTAATGAATGAAAGCCAGTGTTATATTTAACAGAATTTAGAAGGGTTAATTCCAGAAAAGGAAAAAAAAATACAAAGGATTTTCTCCTTAAAGTAGAAGTTAGTGTGTATACATAAAGAAAGGTATAGATTCTCAGAAGAGGAAGAACGTGCCGTGGATAAACCCAATTCAAGTAGGGAAGTATAGTCAATTTTTAACAACCTTCCACATCCAAGATTGGTCAGTGTAGACATTCAACATTTATTGGAGGAGACTCATTATAAAAATAAACAAATAAATATAATAAAAGGCCCATGTACAAAGTGCAGCCTGGAACTCTGGCTGAGTGTCCCCACGAGTGCAATAAGGGACATTCCTGCCACCAGGTGAAACAGAAAAGGATCTGAATTTCTTGATGAATCTCCTTAAATCTCAACAAAAAATAAACTGATTCTAAATATGGTGTGGTTCTGTTTCATAATCTCAGATAAATGAGTTGCCTGTGTGGCGGGTGTTCCTTGCTTGCACCCTGGAGGTTAGCATTTCTGAGTTCAACCCAAGCAATAGCCAAAACTGCCCAGCACACCCACACATTTCCTGGTGTTTGTCGCCTCGACCTACCGGTTTGCTCTTGATGGGCCGTTTCTGAGGAGAAGATATGACCAAAAGATCAGCATATATCACATATTTTCATCTGACCTTTATGATCTTTATCATACATTGCCTACTCATATTTCCTGCTAAAATAATCTTAAGGATATTAAAACTACAAGTTACCATTAATATTCACTATACACTTCCAGCAATGCATCAGTAAAACTATCTGGCAGTTAGACAATTTTTTCATGTCACTGTTTTATTTTACACTCATTAAATCTTTTGTGTAGATGTTGGGTAATGACATTTATATAAGGTTCCATCTACATTTCATAAAATTCTTCTACCATTTTGATTATCTTTAGGTTAAACTCTTCTTTCATCTAAACACAATCTAAAGATTTCATTTATGTTAATCTACACACCTTATAGTCTTACAACTTTTAATGTGACATGTCTTCTCTTTAACTGTCTTGTCTGTTAGAGAAGAAATTGTCAAGTAAATACTACCATGAACATGATTTCTTATGTATCAGTTCTATTTTAAGTTTTCATGCTTAAACAGCTGATTAGTTCCCAGATTGTCAAGATGTTCATTATCAAATTATTACATTGATTTTTGGAAAATAAACAAATGAATAACTAAAAAAATCATTAAATCTACCCACAAGAAATCATGTTCATGCATCTACTCTAACCACGTTCTGTTGTTTTCAAAGATCTAAATCATACAAGAAAAGTCAATAGTAGGTAAGGTCTTGTGTTTTTGTCAGAACTGAACAGTTTTTCTTTTTCAGACAAAAATATATTCAGTAGTCTTTGTACACAATTTTTGTCTAGGATGGATAATGAGTGCCCTTTTTTACTGCTGAAAATGCTCTGAACAAAAAACTGTAATTGCACAATGACGATTGTAAGACATATAAAGGCAATATCTACTACTAATACTACTGCAACTTCTACCTGGTTTCTACTAATATTCCACTGTCAAACAGAGTACTTTAAAGTAACAATATTTTTCCATATAAGGAACATACTTCAAGTCCTAAAACCATTTCTTATCATCAACTTCTTCCTTTCATTGTTAATTATGATGCATCAAATGTTATTCATGCATGTCTAAATGATATTAAGAGTTGTTTCCAAAATATGCTATATACATTGTGATGCTTTAACTGTACAATCTTCTGTTTATTTCATTGTTTAGATGACTGGATCTGTATAACCTCAATTTCAACTAATCCTAATAGTTTGGTATCTATGCAAGATACACACAATAAGTTACTTTTAAGAAAATCATTCCAGCACTCTAAAGCTATTACACATCAAGTAAAACTGTAACACAAGTTTCCATTTTTTTAAAACTTGGGGCTAAACTGCTTCTCTGTTTAATGGCTTCATACTCTCACTGTAATACCTGATAGCAAAAATTACAAGCTCTGCCTGGAAAGATTTAGAGGAAAAAAGTCAGGAGGGCAACACAAAAAACTTTATAGAAAGTGACAATACCACTGCCTCACAAGTGGGAGCCACTGTTGTAGACACACTCTACAACTTGTCTCATACCCAGGAACTAATAGTTGAGGCATACTCAAGGAGCTATACCATATGTGAATTTTTTTTGATGCTGCAACACTGAGTTGGTGAGAGATGATGGACACACAGAGGATAAAAAAATAAACTTATAGAACAGGAGCAAATATAAGTGGCACATTCTCTGGAACTGTTTAATGCACAAGGTGGGCAATGATCACTGCATAGAATAAATAGGCAGCCTACTTCATACTTGTGTATCAACACCAAGCATAGAGGGTTCCTTAGGTCTTAGTACTTCTCCAGATGCAGAAATCCAAAAAGATGTCCTCTCATAGAGGAGCAACCTGAGGAACAATACCATACAGGATGAAAACTCCTCTGAGACTGATCTCAAGGCCACCAGCAAATAGGGGATAAACCAAGGAAAGCCTGAGAAGGAAACAGCACTGCAGGAAATGGGATACAAGGCAAATCACAAGAAGAGCTGCTCTTCTCTAACAAAGTGAAAAAGTAGCCTCTTTATGCACTCCAAGAAATGAATCACTTGGGTCCATATTTTTTGCACTCCATATGGTATATACCTACAGAGTGAGGGTTCAACCATCAAGCAAAAATGGCCTCCCAAGAAGCATCCTCTCCAGAATTCAGGAGGGAAAATAATGTAGGGGGAGTAGACCTCTGTGTGTGTCATCATGCATCTATCTACATATGGGGCAACCAAGAAAAATTCTCTTTAGATAGAGAAACCATTTGCTTGGTCTTATAAATGATGACAGGAAAAGCAAGAAATAACTCCATAATTATAAATAAAGGAAAACTATTTCTCCATACTTTTTACACCTTCCTGTACTTGTAAATCTGTTGCACTAACAAGAGCATATTTCTGCTTCATTATAGACACAGTCCTTAATCCATATGCTTAGCAAGATTATGATACACCACTAAAATGGGAGACTTCCTTAACAATCTAATTTTCTTCCTAAACTCAAACTCAGTCACTCATTCACTCACTCTCTCTCTCACGTGCACACATGCACGCACACCCACACACCCATGTACACACATACACACAAATATTCACAGGCAAAGACATGCACTCAAGGTACATTCACACAAAGGAATATCACAGTGTGACAGAAGAGCTCTTGACAGCAAGGAAAAGAAACAAGAACAACAGCTACCAGCATCTCTAACAAAGGTCTAGGGTATGGGCAAGAGCACATTACAACAGAAATGAATGACATAGGTGAATTATCATGAATGAGAATAAAAGAGAGACTGATCTTCATCCAGATACTCGCAGCTTAAGTAAAATGTTTATCAATGCATCCTTTCCAGCTAGTAGTTGTTATCTTTGCTACTGTACTCTCAGTTTCAGTATTATAACCACTTGTATATAGCAACTATATTATGGAGGGAGGGGGAGAGAATAAGCAAAATTGTTTTCATTTGTTACTACTATATTCATCTATCTAATAAAAGATACCATTATCATTTCTTGTCCAGGCATTTCAGTTTATCACTGTCTGGTACTATGAAACATATCAACACGTAGCTAAATCTTCGCACTCAATTACTTTTCTTTTTTCCTCTAATTGTTTCTGTACTATTCTCATGTAACTTTTGTGATATTCTGATGTTTCTTACAGCACTTAAAACATGCATGGTGAAATACAGAAAGAAACAATAAATATATTTTTCAGTCCTCTGAAGATAATGCAATACGTCCCTTCCAAATCCAAGTCTACTGAGAATCACTCATGGGGTTTGTTAATGTATTTCTACAATATCAAGAAAATGAATACATTTATCTTTTTAGCTTATCTAGTGGAGAGACAAGGCAGGCAAATTTGACCTTCCTACGTACCTTTTCCTCATCAACAGCTGGCATCCGTTCATGCTTGTAATATACCAAATAAAGTATTTACACATCATTCTAAGACCGAAGGAATACTATAAGTACATTCAAAGAATGGTATTTAGAACACTGCTACTCACTACTATTTTCATTGACTTCATTAAGGTTTTAAGGGGCATTCTGTTATCAAAACAGAATGCTTCAATAGAATATTACCCTTTTCCCATACTTTTGAAGTATTTCTACACAATTGTTATTTTGAAGTGAATGGCTAATCTGTGGAAAACTGTAATATATCAATCCATTTTTAAACATCATACTTCATACTGAAAACAAATAAACACCAAAAATTTCATCTTTTCCTTCATGATAAAAATTCTTTTAATATAACAAAAAAATCATAACTATCCAATACCAAACTTTATAAAATAATGTATGTATGATCTAATGGAATTCCTCTTGACAAATGTAAGAGATATGAATGAGAATGAATATATAGCTAAATTTCCTGATAAGACTAAACAACTATCTCCAATGCAATCAGGTATATGGGCAATGCAACCAATATAACTAACATGGTAGGCACCAAAATAAGAGAGCTAATGGAAAGGCAAAAACCCTTCCTACAAATGATCTTAATATCATAAAATCCTGTACAAAGTAATAAGTGTCAGGTTTGATAAATCACATTCTAACGTAGTTTGAATATCAGGATCAGCAAACATTAAGTAGATAACTGACACCATAGACCCTCCAAAAAGGAAGGAAGTAGAACTGGAAGCTGTAATAAATCACATCAAAGAATTGTTTGAATGCCTCATAGCTTCTAAATCATCTTTGGCATGGCAAAACTATTTATTCAACAAACAAAAAGATAAATCACCTCACAGCAAATACATGTTTAGTTTGCGAATATGCCTGATACATAGTTTTAGTGAAATGTAATAATACTAATAAGTTGGTATGTTATCATCCTGCATTGTAGAATTACCATTCTCATTCATACCTATTCTTTATGTGTGTAGCCACCCCTTCTGACTGTGTGGGTAATCCGAGAACAATACAAAATGATTATTTGAAATTCCACTGCCTAATCAACAGAAAAGGACAGCTCATTTTTAGAGTTGATTTAGTCCTTAAAACCTCTTTTAGTATTTTGTAGCAAAAGAAGTAGTTGATAGTCACAGAACATACAATTGAGAAGGAGCTATACAATATTCCCTCCTCAGTTTCTACCTGGGACAAACTGTAATGTTATACCACTGCCGCAGAAAAGGGGATAAATTCTAACAGGAAGACAGATTTACACAGAAAGATAATCAATCTCCTAACATATGTTCAGAGCTTCTCTTTTTTTTGGGTTCATTTCAGCACATCAAGAGTATGTCATAAGTTTTATCTTTTTTCTTCTTACTGATGGCAAAAGTATGAAATTCCAATGCACATACAATGAGGAGATGTAAACAAGCAAAACACTCTGATCCTAATCACTCGGTTTGCCAGAGCGATTCTGTAACTTGTCATATCTGTACTAAATCCTATCATGCAGGTTATGCAGCAGTCACGCTAAACAGGTCATGCTGACATAGTCACAACATTCACTTTTGTTGTTGTTTTTAATGCAATGTCATTCTTGGTTGCTAAAGTCAAAGTTATGTATTCCTTCACATGTTTGGCAGGAACTTTTCTTTAAAGCTTGGTGTTGGAATCAAAATTGTCGAACTGCTAAAACAGTGAGTACTTTGCAAATATTTGAGAATCATGGCTTCTCAGACAAAGCAAAATTTTTAAAAGCTTATCAGTAGTATCTTTAAATACATACAGGCATGGCTTTTGGTTGGTAGCCAGTAATCACAGAATAATATTAAATGGACAAAGCATGTGTTTCTTAGAAGAAATACGGATAGTCCTACATCCTTGTATGTCTTCATAAGATTTTAAGACAGCCACTTCTTTATCTGGAATTACTTTTTGCTCAAATCATAGCACATCCCTTAAATCTAAAAGTAAAGCCAAAATCAAAATTCAAGGTTAAATTAGGAAAATATCTGATCACTCTTACACAAATGCATGTAGATATTATCTTTAACTCTATGCTGAATCAAATCTTACTAAATCATTATTCAAACTAAATGAAGGGAAAACAGGTTCTTGCTAGCCCATACAACAACTTTATTAGGCATCAATTTACATAAGAGATTACATAATGAGAAGCTGAAAGAGAAATCATTTATCTATGCATCTATAACAATCTCTTGATTCTGATCTCAAGATGCAGTTGCTGTGATGAAACACAGAAAAAGTTTATCTTTCTTATACTTCATTCTTTAAATGAGCACAAAACAAATTAAACATCTACTTTAC